CCCCTTTAGCTGAGGCTTTGGTTGGCTTGAATTGGAGTACACAACACGTGTAACACAAGGACCTCTTGTCACGATCAGTGACTCAACACTGTTACCCTGAACATTAAGTGCACTTGTTCATTGTTCTGATTCTCTCCACCACCATTTATGTCGACAATGGTCGTGTGGCCCGCATCCACCGAAATTGAAGCTCTTATGTGTGATTCTTTATCTTCCTTCTTGCTGCGGCACCAGTGATACCGCTCATGATGTTGTGCTGCTCTGGACGACGACGCCAATCGACAATCGGTTCAGATTCAGCTTTAACATCATCATTGTCGTCATCTTCATCATCAGTAATTACGATCAAAAGAATAGCGGCCACCATCACCATCGCCATACAACCCTCACAATTAATTAATTCAGCATTGTATAATTCATGCCTGATGCGGAAAACGACTGCGCAGATTGACGCTTTCCTTCCGCACAGAGCAGGGGTGGGGCACCATGGGGAGTGCGGGGCGGGAAGTGCGGCACCCCCAATGCAGCACAGAAGATTTTTTGGGTGGCGGAGGGAGGGCCACGGGACCCGAGAGCATTATCATTTTTTTGGCCGCAACATCCCGGATGGCTGCCCCTGCTTTAGGGCTCTGCCGCAAGGTACGTGACACTGGGCCGGCTGGCCTTGTTTTTGCTGAGGACAGTCGGCCGGCCGCCCCTGCTGGAGAGTTCTGCCACAACCCCTGGTACGCCCCTGCTAGGGCTCTGCTGCAACCAGCGCTGGCTCCCTGCTGTCAGGCTGTTGCTGCCGCAACCCACCTCCGCAGCCTCTGCCGCAACGTCCTGGTACGGCCTCCGACCAGCAAAACAGGACGCCCAGCCCGACCGCCCCGCCTCCGTTCTATGCTACGCCCCCGAAATCCTAGCTGGCCTGACCAGACTTCGCCACAATGCAGCCTTCACGGAAGACTTCAGCAACAACATTGCGAACATCCGGCGCCGAAATCTCACTCCTTCAGTCGTGCATGTATTCTCGAATTACTTCTTCGAAGAAACATACACAGCCGTACGCCCTGAGAGTTGTGAGTGGGTGCCGTGGCGGGTAAGCCTGCAGGCCGACGCGCGCCCACAAAGTGCGTTTTCGTTTGGCACACCTTAAACCCTAAAGCCCTAGTAGCAAGCAAAGACCCTCGTCCGTCATGCCAGCCTTGTGCGAGTGTGTGACTATACTGCAAAGGTAAGGGCATGGCCTGGCATCTACGCAGTCCCAGGTTCGAAGGAACCCTAACTTAAAGGGATCGCTTATAAAGGAACCCACACCCTAAACCCTTAACTTACCACGTAGAGACACCATAACCCCTTCTATCGTGTCCTGATAGTAGAACCCTTAACAGGAGCCCTTCACAGGAACCTTGCACCCTGAGAAGTCCCAAAAGCTCCTGATTGTATCCGCCAAAACTAACCCCAAGGCTTTAAGGATTCATAG